TATAATTATATATATTATATTTTTATATTTATATATAATTATATATATTCGTGATCTGGAGAATCTCCTCTATCCAACCATACCCATCTTAACCCTGAAATCGTGGGTTGCTAAACTAAAGCCCACCCGTACGTCGTACTAAAGGGCTGAGATTTTGAATCGCATGACCCGAATTCGTCGTTTAATTGGATATGAGGGATAAACGAGCTTCTCTAGGTTAACAGTACATACATATATAATTTCCGCTGAATTATGGTTAAGATATTTGCAATTAAAATTAAAAATTCAAAAAATTGGAAGTATGTATTTTTTCTTTTGGCTGGGACTTAAATTAGCATGCCCTAAGTTATATTTGGGGTCGGCTTTAGTATACCATCCCACGATTTCTGGGTTAAAAGGGGTATGGTTGGATAGAGTAGATTCTCCAGATAAAGAATATACATAAGTTGAAAATTTCACAAATTTTATCTCACAATTTCTCGATTTATAGTTAATTTTTCCTATATATTATGCACTTATTATAAACTTACACTTCACTGCAATGTTTCTACACATTTATTTTATATAAATTATTATATCTGTTTTAAATAAGCTTTTTATTTTTACACAATTTTCGTTATATGTACAATAACAAATGGGTTCTATGTTGACAGATAATAAGTGTTGCTATATCTATTTTATATATATATATTTTGCAAACGAATTAAAATGAACAATAGAGGATTATACCCCAAATACATTAACCATTACTTTGTTCGTTCTCTTCTCTTGATAAACCATGGTATCGGATTGGCCAGTGTTATTTTTATCAGAAATAAATAGGACACGAAAGGAATAACAATCACCCCGGTGTTAGATTGGCAAGGGCTATTTTTTTGAAGCTCGGCCGAAGACCCCCAATGTAAATAGGGAATGCAACCAAAAAACGTAATGTTAAAGAGGGTAAAATATATATTTCAACACCTATTATCTGTCAACATTGAACCCATTTGTTATTGTGCATATAACGAAAATTGTGTAAAAATAAAATGCTTATTTAAAGCAAATATTAAAATAATTCATATAAAATAAATATGTAGTGAAGTGTGAGTGCATAATAAGTGCATAATATAAAAGAAAAATTAACTTAACACATTTGTCGTTATATGCACAATAAAAAATGGGTTCCATGTTGACAGATAATAAGTGTTGCCATATCTATTTTAAATATATATATATTATATATGGAAAAAACGCTGGCATAAGTGAATATATATAGATATATAAATTTCAAGATATTTGCGTTTAAATTTAAAAAATTCAACTATTCAAAGCACGTGTTTTTTTATTTATAATAAATTTTATACATATGTTTTTCACATTTATTTCGACTAACAGTTTACTTATTCTTTTGTACACATCTATTTCACATTCAAACACAAAAAAGAGGTCCACGCGAAAAACTTACTACACCTCGGTGTCGGAGTTCTAAGTGAAAACTAATATTGTCATATAATAATATAATAAATAAATAAATATCACGCTCTTTTACAACAATCTTCTCTAACGGATATTACTACTGTTACTTTTGAAACAAAGTAGGTGTTTTTTTTCCTTTTGCTGTTCATTTCGTATTAGGAAAATAAGCGTTCTTAGCATGTGAAAGTGAAAAAAAATTAATTTCAATCAAATTCGTTATTTAATTTTGGGAAAAAATTTATGTAATATCAGGTACGTTATTCTACATTTACAAAAGATGTCGAAAAGGTAACACTGGTTATTTGTCAGTATGCAACCGCTATGTTATTGTGTGAATAAATAGAATTCAACAATATGTTAAATATTGAATTAAAGCTATTTTTACTTATTTATTGACTACGCCAATCGGCAATATACATAATAAAAATAGTTAGTTGAAGGTACTTGAAAAAAAATACATATCTATATATTTATATATATATAGGGCGCTGTGGTAGCAGTTTGCGGGAGTTGCATAGACCAAAATCCTAGATTACAAGAGTAAATGTTATCTAATGTTATCGATGAAAGCCGGGTGTTAAAAAATAGGCGAGAATTTTTTGCAATTTAACTGAATTATATTTAAAGGCGTTTAAAGCGATATTCTTAAAAATTAAAAAATTTACTCTGAAGTCTACTCGCTGAAAGTTGTCGTCCGAATGCATTATCGGCTCCCGTTTTCCCATTGGACCAATCAGAACGCGCCAGGCTTGCAGGAGGATTACGTCAATCATGCTGCCATATCGTTCGTAACACTCCCTTCGGTATATCCTGCTGATCAGGGTGTACCGAATTAATCACATCTAGAACGGCTATTTTAGCGGCAGGTCTCCCAAAGCTGCCACAGGTCGTCTTCAGAGTAGCGCTACGGACTTTTCCATCATTACTCTTTCGTACTTGGATCACTTTGCCTTTAGGCCAGCAGTTTCGCGGGTTACTAGGATCAACTATGTACGCGATTTCACCGACTTTGATGTCCTTTACATCTGTAAACCATTTCCTTCTCTTGGTTATGGTGGGCAAGTACTCCAATATTCAACGTCTCCAGAATGCGTTTGCTAGTTTTTGCGATGTTTACCAGTTACGACGCAATAAAATATTCTCAGC